CGGAAAAAAACAGAATAATGGCCTCGTGAATCTTGGTATACAGTAACAGCTCTTACAAGGCAGTCATCACTTCAAATGCACAAAATGCTCTAATAAGCATGATCTAATCGTATAATGAATTCGTGCGGCTTCCTATGATTAAGCATCGAAAGATTATGTCGCTTCTATTTTACTAAACGAAAGGTCGTCAACGTTTGTAGGTTACAGCTAAAGTCAAGGCTACTTCGTACAGTATTTCAGTTATATCCGGGCACGTCAGTGTAAAATGGTAATCTTGGGAGATGGAGGGCGAGATATCTCTTTCTGCCAAAACATATCTATTTTCCGATTTAAGATTCAGAACAAGTAATCACCACCTCCCTATAGAAGTTGGCCGTTGGGCAAATGTTCCTAGAGAATATCGTCTGTGTAATTTATGCAACTCTCATGCTGTGGGAGATGAACTCCATTATCTGTTCAAATGCGATGCTTTATTACTGTATAGACAAACATATTTACCTTCTTACCTGAATCCAATAACCTTGTGGAAAATCGTCAAACTGTTCTCGTCTAAACAAACGCGCAATCTTAAAAATCTTGCTACGTACATTAATGTAATATTTAAGTCTACAAAGATACATTAACCTTTGGTTCTTTTTCGCTTTTATCTGCCATCTTGTCATGAATATATTTATATGACTATAGTAATATTGTATTCTCATGTTTTGTGTGATAAATTGAATTGAATTGAATTCAGGGCCGTTAACACAGGTATTGTTGCGGAGTGCCAAAACACACAAGGAAGGAAACACATCCACAAAGTTTACCAACGTCCTGCTGTTTATTATACAAAATAAGTCTCTGGGACCGAATAATGAAAACATCTTCCCATCACACTTTGAAACAACATTCAGAACTATTTTATAACATCTTCCTAAGAGAAGAACACATTTGCCATACACATGGTGATAAAATACTTGACGTATAACTTGACACATATTTATGACTTTAAAATCATTATGTTCAAATAAGAAAAAATATATTTAAACCATTTAATATGGTTGTGTGTACGGTGATTTGATGAAACCACTAACTGCATTTGATAAGTATATATACAGCCTGTGTTTCTCATGTTATATACCTAATGAATGATATGGTATCATATATATAAATACGAAATTCAATTCGAAACTTTTGGATTTATGTCTTTGCCATCAGTATTCCCAGTCTATATTCATCTGAATGAAATCTAATCCAGAAGAAAGTACCTTAGCTAACATTCATTTTTGACCTCATCAACTTAATTGACAATCACCTTAAGGCAAGCAGACTGTTTCCTTGTTAAAATGAATGTGGCTCATTTGAATTCAGCTTTGAAGTCTGTTCCGAAACAGCTCAATAGATACTACCGAGTACGATCAAAATTATAATACAGAGTCAATTAATGAAGTAACAAGTTAATGACATTTTTCATATCGCCCGTAATGATTCTCACTTTGCGATATTATTGTGCTATGGTCATCGGATGACTGTGCTTCTAACTGCTCTACATTGTACCACCTTCTTTGAGGGTCCCCCTGTCAGGCAACTGAACGGCAATCCAGCTTATAAAACACAAATGCGTTTGAATGCCCAAGAGGCGCATTAAACATTAGCCCAGATATACCGTATGCACCTTTGTCTGATTATTTGGCTTCATGTACTGTTGGATCTTTCCTCAACCTGCAGACGAATGAGATTATGTATAGATACAGATTTTGTATGTTTCAAACCACTGAACAATTTAAGAGGGGATTCTGGCTAACTGTAAACGGTGGGAATCGGTTAGCAGTATGATGGGCACATACATGTATTGTATTGTTATTTCCATTGGAAATTAAGCGCTACCTGTTCTTTGTGAATACAAGAGACCAAACGCTTTTCACGTCCACTCGAAACCTCAGAATCTATTGTACCATTTCGACCATCAACTTGTGTTTAGATATTAGGTATTTGGGAACGGTGAGCGTATCCTGCCCAATGGTTGCACCCGTTATATCAAGGCTAGTCCGCTGTTCACCTAAAAATGCAGGAACATGTGGTACGAGTTAAAATAGGGACTTTGCAACTGATGGGAACAATTTCTCTATCATTAGTACCTTTTTCCACTTTGAACATCAGGTGCTATTGTTAACATTGTATTTGTGTTAATAAAATTTTGCAGGTTATTTTTTAGCCTCTCAACAGTCTGTCACTTGTGTCAGAGTAAAAATATCTCGAAAGAATCACTTGACTCACCAAACGTATTTTCTGATTGATGCTTCTATATTTAGTCAACATGACTTCCTCTGATAAGTCATTTAAAGTCAACAAAGAAATTGAACGTGCTGAATGGGTGAATAGAACCTGTTCTGAAGGGATATACGACTGTCTGACGGTGGCATGGCAACATGTATTGGCATCATACACATGCACCCGAAGCGAAGTTGTGATGGGTATTCGTACCCAATTAAGTCTTGGGACAGACATGTCAGTACCAATGTACCAATGTCACCGACGCTCGTAATGTTTACTAATTATTACTGATGATACCACCTTTGGGATATTAATACCAGTGCTGACTGTTTTCACTGAAGTATTACTTCGGGCTTTCCTCCCACATTAAACAGACAAGCCGTCATTTAACTGGACTGCCGTTTAAAGCAGCGATAAACCCAACTAATTCCCACTTGTTTTTCTGTCACTATAAAGAATGAAAACATGGGAGTCAGGTACATCAAACATCTAAATTACAGATGTTCTAAACCTTGTCATTCCCAAAACAATACATGGAATACAACGGATTATCATACAGTGGGCAATTATAACCCGGTAAATATGCACACACTCACATGCGAATCCCACTATCTTTGCGAACTACTGTATAAGGTTACACTTTAACGTCTCGGAGAACAACGCAGAGTACGCTATCTAGACAATCATTTGTCAGACTTTCAGACAGTGGCTGAGTGGGTTAAGTGCTTGACTCGCATGCTTGCGTTTAGGTGCCTCACTCTGTTAGTGTGGGGTCGAATCCTTGATGGCACTCAACCCAAATAAGTATTACACGTCACAGACAAAGCGTAATCCTAAATATAACACGTTCAGTTCCTCAGAATTTCAACAAAAGGTTTCCATGTATATAAATACGTAGGGATTTAATGCCTCAGCATACAGCTCCATAGATATACATATTCTATAAATATACTTTTATAATTGAAATAAATAATAAAGAAAATGCTCCCCTAGTGTGTTTAATATATGTACGGAATACAATCGTATTTCGCGAACCTTTACGGTACGAAAAACCAGTCAGTTGATAATCTGCATCTCATAAATATCTGAAGTGGTACAGATGATTAGCCGTTTGTTGGTAGATGGCGAAGGTTTAATCTGTAAACTGGCTAATTGGTTAATCGCGCAGACGTCTGGATATATATAGACGGACATTGGACCGATGGAGATTCTAATTCAATGGTTTTTGGTCCTTTAGCGCCAAACATGTGAGTCATCGACAAGGCAGCAGATACCGACTACCATGCCAGAGTCCAAAATCATACATCGTTTGTATGTCTGGTACAACAAATACAGAAAGCCAAGTTAAAGCCTGCGAATCACACATATAAACTTCCTTGACACAATAAATCTGGTGTGTATATTACTTCATCTGGATAGGGTTTTGTCAGTTACTTGAATTCTAAAACAGGAACATTCATGTTGTTTTATATATTCTAAATAAATGTTCTATGTAACCAATTGCATCTATTCAATGAATTTCCAAAGCTTTGGAAGGCACTTTTCTGACAACTTTTTGTACTCTTAACATTAATGGGTTGGCATTTGGTCCTCACGTTTTCGAAAAACTGTTCAGAAAACTCTGTCTATTTCGTCTGTTGTCCACTTTCCAAATTCAGTGATATTTGATGGAGCACAATTTCCGAACACAATGGTATTTCCTCTTGTTTACAACTGATGGACGCCATGAAGGACATCCTTCCGGAAACCCAATGGACATCCAGGATTAGGTGACACTTATTTGTGTCCTGCTGGGCAAACCTGCTAATCCAATCCTTTTGCTTACAGAGAGCTTAAAGGGGAAGGATAGTTAACTTTACTGAAGTTACAGGAAGTTGTCAGATACTTAGTGACTTTCCTGCCAACTCTGAGGGAACCTTGAGACATGTCTGTTTTTGTTAACGCTCAGTTAAGCCGTGCTAAGTCAGTAATGCCTTCAAATTCGCGTCAACAAACTGGTAAAAGTACGTGGTGTTAGAAAGTTAAAAACCTGCCCTGTTAATTCGCTCTCGAACTACATCAAATAGTTTGAGTCATTATTTGGTTTATTGGAAAGTTTACGTGAAACAAGATTTTCCTTCGTGACAGAACTCCTTTGATATCGATTCATAAAAACATGTTTATTTTACTTTTAGCCAATTTCCTGCTTTAGGCAATACACGTTTAGTTTTTAAGGCAAATTGTGTGAGTGGCAGGTTCGACCGATAATGCGAGACTAGTTTCTCATTTTCGTGTCATTAAAGTGACCAAATCCAGCAGATTTAACTGCTCTAATGCCTTTTGGCATAATGGAAAATAAATAAAACCGAGACCAATTATTCTCTGGCGTTGACATCATTGAACTGGTTTTGTGGCTTACCTATATTTTTTACGCACATTTCAGGCAAGTACTTCACAGTAGAAATGTTTTCCATGTATTGGTCTTATAACAACATCAAGCTTTGATCTTAGCCTTTACTGCACATACTTTCACTGTTCATATGCAAGTACACTGTATAGCGAAAAAAACCTTTCCGTTCTCTTCTCAAAGATTTCACAGGGCGTATAAGGCAACATAATTATGAAATGTTATATGAATGGACCACTGACTATACCAGATGTTCAAGAAAAGAATACACACCTTGCTCCGCGTGAACCAGTATCAAAGTATCAAACACCTTTCGCCAGAGTTCCATTAAAAACTGGCCAGTGAGAAAGCCTTGTGAACGTCCTGGAACTTACACTCGAAAGTATCGATAATGCAGCCGGGCTTTAAAAATGTAATTTTGATATTTTATGGTATTTTCGATTTATTGTAGTTGGGTTTTGTTCGATCAAACACATCTTAAACTTGAAGCGTTGCTTGTAATCCCCTCTAAGTGGTGTATATACAGTCAAATTGGATTTGACTAAAAAATTTACAATATATTATTGAAGCGAAGCTATAAAATACTGAAAAGGTCCCAAACACCAATATGATAAATGTATGAAATGCACCACCTTCGTATAGCAGTTTCTGTCTGATTTATTGTAATCCACTATCAATCACCGTTTTAACCGAAAGTTTATATTGAGTTGATAAAGTTTCAGGCAATCATTTGCCACTATTTTTGTAAGAATCATTTTCAGTTCACCACATCAAATTCTGTCGTCGTTTAATATAGAAATAACGTGAGAGTGTTTGTGTGTTATGTTTCTAAAACCCATATCAAGCATGGTCTCGTTTGGGCCCGGTTAGTGCTTTTATTGTACCCTATGGGAATCAAACTCGATCTGCAATCCTGCGAGACGACCAAAAAGGAGAATGAAAACACATTGGCAATCAGCGCTGATGAAATGAACGTTAGTCATTTTCACGCCTTCAAGTCACATGGACATGCATTTTCCATTTGAAAAAGACCTGGCTTAACGCTGACGTCCCATTAGAACTATGGGCCTGTTGTCAAACATAGATGGGTTGTATGAACACGTTCAGTTATGGTCTCGGGAATCTTCCAGTCCGACAGAGATCAGTCCAATAGAATGACCTGTATGACATATGGTCTGGCCAGCCTGACCTAGGACGACACGTTGATCGTTAAAGGGTCAGTGGGTTGCACGGTCTGGTGGGTATTTCCTTCCCAGGTCTAGACGTGGTAATTAGTTGGTGTTGATTGACGTGAATCAAACTCGCATGCACAGCTAATTGACCCGAGTCTAGTACATTTGTAACAGATCAAATCGTGAAAGCAATGTATCACATATTTTGCACATAAAGATCATGTGTTACTGAGATACGATACATTGATGTATTTAGTGGGAATCTATCATATGCTATACTCACGTATATAATGGTTGGTTGGTTGGTTGTTAGCAATATTCCAGCATCGGTTTGTAAATAATCGAGTCTGGACCAGACAATGCAGTGATCAACAGCATGACCATCGTTCTATGCAAATAAGATACGATGACATGTGTCAACCAAGTCAGCAAGCCTGGCCACCCGATTCCGTTCGTCGCCTCTTACGACAAGCATGGGTTACTGAAGATCAATTCTAACCCGGATCTTCACGAGTTCATAGACAACGGTGGAACGATGAAAGTGAAACATCAACGCAGGCAATAACCTAGTTTCAGTTATGTTTTACTAAGGACTTCACCACTTAGTCTATTTTGTCGGTTATACCAAAGGGAATTTTTGTCTTCGGATTATCGAGACTGGTCATTTTCTGGCAGTGACATATTACACTTCTGTGCACAGCAACACAACTGAGGTCAGTCTTAATGACGTCTACAACATCCTATGACATCACAACGCATTAAAAATGTCTTAGGGGGATTCATTATCGAGTCCTCTCCTATTCTTTTGAACCTGTACAAATTTGATTTTTTTCAGGAGCACTGAGGTATGTTTATATTTCAGAATCTTAGTTAACAATATTACAGCTCCGGTACACGCACGTCAAAACATCGTGTTAAACGTGGCAACGATGATAAACGATGTTTGGGGAGGCTGAAGAAGGTCCTTTGGAACAGATTTGTATCCGGTCATCTGGTTAATTGCGACGACGTCTGTAAGTTATTTATATCCAACACAGACTGATTTGAGGTGCAGATGAAAGGTCGGTGGTTATCCGGTGCTAACAGGTCGAGCGATTAAACAGAAACTTAAGATACCTAAAATAGGAATCTGTTCAAAAACAACAGTGCGGATGTACATAGACAGTGAGGTAGGAGACGGTTACAATCAAATAGGTACATGTAGAAAATTACAAAATACCAGCAACAGAATATAAGTGCCCAAACTAGTACTTGATGTACTTGATAGTACTTGACGCGGCCGAAGGTTGACCAACCAGGTTTTGTAGCATAAATTCGAATGAGAATCATGAGAATATTGCGGAGTTTAATGTTAACCAGCAAATTAACAACGTTACAATTTTTTAAACTAAAAACTTTTAAAGTTATTATCATCTCGTATAGTCTACTTTAATATATCCCAAACTCTTAGTAGGATGGGTTGAACAAGTCTAAATTGTATTTTAGATACATCAAAGGATAACCTTCACTCTCATTCGTGTGCCGTGCTCCTTTATAAGAGGAAGCGTCACTTCGGAAATCATATTTCTTTAGTTGGGATATATATGCCTGTGCCATATTAAAGTGGGTCTTCTAGCCAACTGTTTACACATTACGTGATGGTAGAACACCAGAGCCTCATCATCGCTACAGATTCATAAACACAAGTCATGATGTCGGAATCGTATACTGACTTTTTGAAAATGATGTCCCTTCCTCCATACCACCCATCAAAGTTAAGACTCACTAGTGTAAATATGAACCATACTTCAGTCAACTGTTCTACACTAGATCTTGCAAAATGTTCCATACTGTTTAAAGGCACTGTTTACACATGAACTGATGTATTCGTAACGTTGAAAACAGCATTGTCATGAGCTCAATAAATCATGGAACTCAGTGAAAATTGGCGACTTCTTAACAAACAATTACGCCAAAACGCAGCTGTTCACATGCACGAAATTTGCACATGCTCTTCAGCACTTTGATGTATGATCCTCATGCAATTTAACTTAGTGGAGAAATTCATCTTCGATGTAACCATAACATATAGTGAGTGCTATAAGTGAATCTGAATTTTTGATGGGTAGTATATATCGAAAAATGGTGTACAGTCACTTGGAGAAATTCAGGAACATTTTGGATCACGAAGAGCCTATACTGTCTAAGCCGCATATGATCCATATGATCCATTTATGCAGGCACTGATATCGGTGTTTTCGCCAACTAGAAAAGGGCTTCCCTGCTCTCAGGAATAGACTGTATAAGAATCATCAGCTTTCCAACAGAAAGGCCGGCAGCACTTCAACATACTACATCGAGGGTTATGTAGCTTTAAATCAATTTAACCGCTAACACAGTAGTGCCACAAATGAACTCATGGCTCAAAAGCCCTTTTAGATGTTTGTGTATTTGGACGTCTGTCTGATCTTTACTAAAACTAAAAACACTAAGCGTTGTTTTTTTATTTTTTTATTTTGTAGTTGTTATTCCTTTGTGCATGATAAGAGCGTCTGTTTCGTGAGATTATGAGCCGTTTTTGACGAAGAAAGAATCTGCCAAGGCATCCTAATCCAGATTTTAAGTTTGGTATTTACGATGTGCAAACCTGTCGATACCTCAGTGATTTTTTCCCCAGTTCTGTTGCACTAGCCATATACTGTATCCCTTTGGGATTTAGTATTTTATTTTCTCATCAGCAGTAACAGAAGCTTAATTTCATTTCATGACTTATTTTAGAATTGCGAAAAAAAATTAATTTCACTTAAAATTACTATCTGCCTGTTTTGATTTATTTGGCAGCAAAGAAGATAAAACTGAATATAATTCGGTCAGTGACGTTTTTGTCATATGTGTCTGTTGTTTGTATACGTGTATATACATATACATAAGTTTCATGGACATACATTTGTCAATGCCGAAAGTGTTTTTTTATATATAATATACCCATATGTTTAGTAGTAAAATTGTAACCCCTTAGTTATGTATACCACAGTTCTTAATCGTAGTATACATTTTAGATAAATGGTTAACCTTGCATACAGTGGATAACAGCTGAAGGATGGTTTAAATCCATGCGGGTAGCAAAAGCACTGTAAGTACCCATAGTCTCTAGTATGGTGATCTACCGATCTATAGCCCGTTTTTACTTTGTATTGTTCTTTACAGTCAAATACTTTTTATAGTTAAGTTCTAAGAGGTATTCTATGATATTTTGTGATTTTACTGTCTTTCATTGACATGTATTTATAAGATAAAGTTGGAATTTCTTAATAGATTGCTTTTGTTGTCACGATATGGCTGAAATATTGTCGATGTAACATTATATGTTAACTTCCTCACTCATTTAAGTAGTAGACTTAAAAGATTTTTGTACATTTTTTAAAAGTGAACACGGCGCCATGACAAACTTGTTTGAATTTGTCGAATTTCGCCTCGAAGACCTCAATTCATAATGAGTGAGAATGTTGATTTTGTTTAGTCCAAAAAGATGGCATATACTTAACTGGTTTAGTACACTAATGCACCCGTTAATAGTTTTGTTTCAGTAATTGTTCAAAACTTAATGAAAATGTCTTGAACTGTCATCATCATGTGTATTGACAATGACTATACAAGCTCAAACGTCTGTCAACATTTTCTCAAACGTTTGTCGACTTGGTGGATGTAGGAAATTGCCAAGACTGATTGCTGCCCATCGCAACATCGCCGAAGGAGGTATCGAATCTTCAGAGTCATAGTCTGTGTTGTATATGATTTCAACGAACACCAGATATCTCGTTCATAGGATCGGTATATATGCCTAAGATCAACCAAAGATCGTCCTAGAAGTAGTAGACCAAGATCCATCCCCCCTACACAGGATCGCAGGTCTTTAATCAACATAATCGACATTCTAGTCCCACCAACTCCAGGGCATGTGCCTGGTTTGAGGAGGGTATCGCAGCATACAATCAAGAATCGTCTGTAAGTGGTGCACCGTTTAGATAAATGGGTAACATTACATACAATTGCTAGCAGCTGAAGGGATGGTATAAATTCAACTATGGAACCGTGCAGGAGACACAAGTATTGTAAGTCCCCACGGCCCCTTGTATGGTGGCCTTACTTCCGTTGCTAGCTATATCTTGCCAATCTTGTTATACCGTATCGTTAAATGATAGTATTATTATAATTTTCCTTATGTACTTTTACCAAATATGTAATAATCTAATTATTTGACTGTCCTTCGTTGACAGGGTTTTATGAATTATATGTATTTATCATGAATTTAGAACTAGTTCAATTGTTTTGAAGGTGGGTGAGACAGTAACTGCAGCAAGGACGTTAATAATTGTGATTGAGGGGAACTTGAATGAGGCGACGTACCGAGACGAGATTTGACAAATTTGACGCTTTACCGATTTTGCTACAGAACGACCCTTTGCACAGCAGTATCTTAATCATCGTTGATGTGTTACCTTAGCACAGATTCCGATTGGCACACGTCCAGGAAGACATGAAGCAACGTTTACGATCATCCGAATCCTCCGACATTGCAGGAACTCCGCAAAATCTTTCCTCGAATATGGAGTGATCTTCCTTCAACTTTTATCGACGTTTATTGGCCTGAATGAGGCGAAAGTTCAGGCTGCATCAATGCACAAGGTGCACACACTTGCTACTGTACGTGTGAACTGTATTGTGAAGCCCTGCCTTTGTTGTGGCTCATTTGTATATGCCAGATGCGCTGTTCTTATGGACTATCGTTACCATACCATGAACCTTATACAGTCAATTACTGAAGGGTCGGTGGGGTTGCCTAGTGGTTGAAGCGTTGGCTCTTCACGCCGAAGACCCGGGTTCGAATCCCCACATGGATACAATGTGTGAAGCCCATTTCTGGTGTCCCCCGCCGTGATGTTGCTGGAATATTGCTAAAAGCGGCGTAAAACCAAAACTCATTCAGTCAATTACTGAAAGCAGGGAAGCCCTTTTCTTGTTGGCGAAACCTTGAACCTTGAGCACATCTTGTCTCACCAGATGCACACGTCACCTTACATCATGCTGAGGCTAGGCAATTGTTCCCCCCGAAAACACAAGAAACAACAAAGACTTGAGGTGTGGGAATATTGCTGGACATAAACGGAAATCTGACAACTGTAAAGGTGAAATCATAAATCATTTAGCCTTGAGGAGAGGTTTTTGTCACTTTGAATCTTTATGCACAGATCTAAATATGAAACACACGATGTGGTCTCACTGGTATCATCTATTTTAAATCTGGCGGACAAATGAATGGAAGGTAATTGACTCCTTGAAGGTTCTTGAACGATGTGAGAGCATTGGTATACCTGAAGCTTATTTAAACTTCATGGCCAAATTACCTTGTTTTGATTGTGCCGACCCGAGCACAAATTCTAATTCAAATGCATAAAGAAACAGATCCGCTACTCTGAACAGCATTCCGATGATGTTGAGTCAGGGAGCAATTCCGAAATTTATGCCGCTCCAAGACTTTTCAACTTTGGTGAAATCAGCGAGCTTGTGTATTGCGTAGGACAAAGCAGGACGTCAATTAAAGACAACGTTAGATCAGGATGAAGACCCACGATCACTGGCGTCTGCCTTGTTGCTAGGCCAACCATTCTACAATTGTTAGTGCCTACAAAACGGTTTTAATGACACAATGCTTCTAATGTCCGATACTTTCCTGGAACAATGAAGTACTGATGAACATTGATGATTCATGCAGCAGGAACTTAAATCCTCCTTACAACGTCGGCAGGAATGTTTAACGGCCATATTGTCTCTTGGTCGAAGTAGGCCTGATGTGTTTATAGTTCGCGACCTCGCTAGAATAATTCCGTCCCAATGAACAGACAGTTATGGTTTTTAACCATTACCTTAGGACACCGACATGAGGTTTTTGTCTGGTCACATGACCATACCTTTTTTACAGAAAACAGATTGCGGCGATTCCGACAAACAATTTGTTGCAACCTTCGTCTAAAATCTTTGTACCTCTAGGTTACATCCGTCGCCAGTAAAGAGAAGCAAAACAGAAACATTAGGTTCGTTCAAATTACTGACGTGGGTGAGACTCGGAGGACTGTGACTGGGAGCCAATGTCGTCCTTCATTGTATCAGCGGCAGAGCAGCGTCAAGTCACAAAACATTGGCGCTGTTATATTTCACAAACTAAGGCCCACGTATAATGTTCAAGGACCACAATAACTTTACATGTGTTCTGAAATAAGGAAAACGGAAATATAGCGATAATAAGATGACAGTGGTATATTAACTAAATTACCTGTCGAGGTTATGTGGGATTGCTGAACAGGTTCACTGTTTCTGTGTGTTCCAAGACTCATGTGTCTAATCAAGACTCTGTCGTTCACAGGCCGCCTTCATATGGCAGGATCCCCGCCAAGCAAACACTTAGTTTTTCATACAAATTGAACTGGTGCCATCAACAGGGCAGGACATGCTTACCCTTTTCACGAACACCTGGTGTCATCATTGATTTTCAGTAATCGATTCTTATTGTTTTCACCAATACTTGACCTTTCACGCCCCATGTTTCTGACTTTTTACATGTGATAAACACAGACAGATATGACATATAAAACATTAAAACGACTGTTCACCTATAAATATTTCAGAGTTTTCTTTACCGAAACGACATGATCTTCTCGTGATCGTTATAAAAATGTTTTCTGTCCGTGTGAATTTCCTTAAGTCAACCAAATACCAAGTAATCACCAAATTTTAATCCACGCCCTGTCCCACAAACACTAAATGTGTTGATCACACTTTCTCGGAAATAGTAAAAGTACATGCTGCATTCAGGAACAGCTCAGAGTACTTATGGGCAGATATTGTCAGCATATATATCAACTCAGTACTAACTGTCTCTAACGGGCCTAGGCCAGATGTTGTGGTTTCGTGAAGTAAACGTGGCATGACGTGGACGTAAGTTAACCAATGGGCCTGACTACCGGATGTCATGACTTGGGGAATGAGAGGGACAGTCTCTAACGCATCCAGAATCGATAGGAAAGTCTACGAACTCATTAATCAAAAAGAGAGTTACTGTCTCCAAACAATCAATAGGACAAGCGTTGTGATCTTACCAATTCAGTTGGACAGGCGCTCTGACCTCTTGTTCTGGTTAACATGACATAGCCTGACCTGCCAAGACCAACACAAGGGCACTTATCACATGGACAGAAAATTGAGAATTGAGAACTGATTTAATATTTTCTAAACGCTTCAGTGTGAACGAAGTGGCGCTCTTGTCTGTTCCCAAACACCCACTTCGTCCTGAAAATTGAAACCTTGTCAAGATTGAAGTTGTTTGGACCAGTCGTGTAATCTGCATCGCAACAGTGGAACCGGCTTCCACGACACTTTAGGCTGTCTCTTTCCATCTTACAGTCTCATCTGCAGGCTCACCTCTTCAGATTGAGCTATCATATCTGACGGTCTGACTGAATAGCTCTGTGAAATAACAAACATTGACATGTAGTGCCATGAGCATTAACGAATGAATTCTGGCAGATTATGAGGCTGCTGATGTGTGGTGCAAATTTGAGGTCCGCCGCCGAAGACACAGAAGCTGTAGAGTTGTTTATGTTTAAAAAATTCGATGTTTACAAGGATATATGAGTCATACCCTTTTGTGTTGACCCGTGAAGTTCCGGATTAGAATTGATCTTCAGTAACCCATGATTGTCGTAAGAGGCGACGAACGGGATCGGGTGGTCAGGCTCGCTGACTGGGTTGACACATGTCATCGGTTCCCAATTGCGCACATCGATGCTCATGCTGCTGATTACTGGATTGTCTGGTCCAGACTCGATTATTTACAGACCGCCGCCATATAGCTGGAATATTGCTAAGTGCGGCCTAAAACTAAACTCACTCACTCACTCACTCACTCTGCTTTAGGGTATGCTAACCATCATTCTGGTTTGTGTGTCGTTCAGATAATCCCGATTCAAGCATTTAAGAATTTGAAGGGTGCCAAGTCTCTCACTGAGGTTGGGAATCAGACTAACAAATTTACACGATTTTTCGATTCGCTTTTCATTTGTTTCAATGTAGAACCACCAGTGTAACATCAAACACAGTGTTAGGGTAGTCAGCTATTTAGACTCATGTTATTTCTCAAACCACTGGCGATAAAAAACCCAATACATTGCGTAATTACAATCTATCAATAAGTGGTTAACCTTCTTTTGGGTGAATTTTAGAAGTTGAGACCTACACTATTGAAGAGACTTTGTGGATAACATCTTCTTTTATTTCTTGAGTGTGACGTTTCAATACAGATCCTTGTACCGTTGTCAAGCAAGAATGAAGAAGTCTTGTTCAATCAGTCGTTAACCTTTGTATTTGCATTTTTATATTTTATGCATGAATTCAGTGTTAGAAAGTTTCCATTCTCTTGAAACTTGTCCGTTTTCAACTAGAATAGACTGTTGAAACTTTGTAGAGGAGTCTAAACTTCGAATACATTTGCTATTTAACAAAACAGCATATCTTGTCTGCATAGTTTAACATGGTGCATAATGCCTGGGGGCCGGGCAAATAATATCCGAATGGTATAATGGTAATCGCTTGATATCCCCGCCAGACCGCCAGCGCGGTGCCCTTGTGAGATAAACTTGTTTTGAAGACCTTGGTCTCCCTAACCAGGGCGCGTGTACTTGAGTTCATGGACACTGTTTTTTCCCAAGATTTACGAAGCCATTTATGTCTTATGCTTGGCCAGAAGTTCGCTGAAAAGAGCAAACATTAAACCCACTCACATACTTCTTTTCTGAACATATCGACGACATATTGTAATTGATGTACCGAACTAAGCACAACTCGTTTTGTTTTTATGATTAAAATGTACGTTCTTTCGTGTAAAGAGCAAGAATGGGTCTCTTCTTCTGTGACAATGGGCGAAAGAAAAAAGGCATGAAAATATATATTCTTCCTTGTTTGCTTTCGTTACTTGAAATAAAAGTTTCGAGTTTGGAATCTACAGCGTCGCACTTCGCCATTGTTCTTGAGTTTCATCAACTTGGTAAACACCAATCATATTTTAGGTTTTCTTCCACCAGGCATAAGTTTAACATAATGTCATAATAACGGCTAAACGTAACATCCACAGCGCACCAGTATCTGGTATCCATGGAGTGAACCTCTCAACATACATAGCTGAGTAATGTCTGACTGAAAATGACAGAACTGTGACCGCATTTATAAAAATTCTTAGACTGCTTGAGAAATCTTAACTATAAGAGCTAACTTTTAACTACGACCGCTTTTATGAATTCGAAGACCAAACCTAAGAAAATTGTAAGAATCTTTATAAATACGGCCCCTGTTCTATTATAATCCACCCATCCTACATTGAGAGAAGACGTATCATGCGTGTGATATCTGATGCGGAACCCTGGAGCTCCTTGAAAAGGACATGACAGATGCTTCGACAGGAAGGGAGTTTGACAATGATGAACCCTTCTTCATTTCAAATGGGCAACGGTCCAATACAACACCGACGATCCCTCCTACACAGAGCTGTCAGTGGAGAGGAGGGTACTCTGGCATCTGAATGACAAGCAGTATATTAAGTTAGACATTTAATGTGTAGGCGTGCATCATTAGCGAAAAGAATGTACTGATTGATAAAAGCAACTGTCCATTGCAATATCATATGGCGTGATGGAAATGGTTCGATGATACATAATAGGAATGATTGTCCAATGGCTTTAAATCACGGTTAATAGAATTCGTTTTAATAGAAAACGTATATCGTTTAAAGAGGTGTTAAAAAAACATAAAAATGTCATGATGAGGAAGACATTTATATAATTCAAACCCTTTACATTCCCTTGCACTTTGGCGTCTTATGAATTATTACATGTGTTTTTGCATTGTAGGAAGTTACCATTCCTATCATCTGTGGAATTTGAGGTAGGCAAAGTGGTTAAACACAAAATTTTGAGAAATACATCAAATGATTTTGAGAGAGTGACTGAGTGATAAAAACGCCTATTATATAGTACCAGATATATTTACATAGGGGGAACACAGTGTAACTTTGCCTGCTAGATTTAATTGTTGAGAAAAATCGACAAAATTTCTGAATAGTCTGTTTTTATCAGGAAACAAGAACGATCTGAAAAAGCTTGTAAAGACATTGAATAGTGGGTGAGTTAAGATTTACAGTCACATCGGCAATATTTAGCCATATCGTGACTAAAAAAAGGTTAGAATTCACCATAAATACATGTAAATTATAAAAACCTGTCATCGAAGGACAGGAAAACCAACTAGAATATCACAGTATCAAGGAATAAAACTAGCATCTGTCTTTAAAATTGGATATACAGACAATACAATTTACTGAAGGTAGATCACCAAAGACATTGAATATATCGGTACCTCAATTATATAGACTTTTTGCATTACAGGCATACAATGCCATCCGAGAGAGAGCTTGTAGAAACCCACTGAAATAAAGTTTGCATGTGTATCCAATACAAATTGCATTCTGATACAACATCCTTCAGTCTTCGTTGCTCGTCCTGAAATGATATCATAACAAACAATTCAATCATATAATCAAAATGAAAACTAAAATATCAACATAATAAATACGTATATATTCAGATATTATTGTAGTATGTAATATAATTATATTATATATTATTATATCAATTAAAGATACTTCATTGAAAAATAATGTTAGTTCGTCTTGGTAAATAGTCGGTAATGGTCCATGGTCCGCATTTATTGTTCCCTACATAGCTATATGGAAGAGAGCGTAATGTCTGGAAGATGGTAATTGGAGTTCCTGTAGCTCCCGGCGAGTTGTTAACGGTGTTGATACCAGCCTCACAGCAATATGAAAGAACGGTTTTTCTTGTCTTCCTGACTTAACACTTGACATTAGGAACATTCTACACTAGGCTAATTATTAAAACACATCTAACGTTGACCTGTTCGTTTGCAATGGAACTAACGAAGTATTACATAGATTGAATCATGGTAATTTGTATAGTTAGTACACACACACAGATTACTGATACATGATACAATGATGTATACAGGTGAACTTGTATACAGGTGAACTTAAGTTGCCTGTTATTTACAAGATCATAGCGATCACCCTGCATTGAACTTGCCAGTCAACACTGAAACCGATAAAAGCTTTAAAGTCACCTAAACCTTAGTTTTAATAACCTCTGCCAAAATTTGCACAAAGCCCCCGGTTTTATCCCAGATTCAAATGAGTCATAAACGTTTCACCTTTTAGGCCCAGAGGAATCTATTTCGCCAGTGAATTAAGATCGATTATTTTCAGCTTTGACGTTATATTTTTTATGATCTCAAGGGACATATATAACAGCACCTGTTGTCTTAGTAACCGATACTGTAATCACTTATGAAACGCAAAGACATTATGGTGGCTATTCATACTACAATCCCTGTCATATCAAAAGAAATAGCGTCTGAACATATTTAAATGCAAGGGATAAAACTGATAGATTTGGCACTTATCCGTGTATCATAACGATGATGGCGAAAATGTTGGAATTGTTTGTCGAAGTATTAGTCAGACATGATATTTGTGTTCCTAACAGACATCGAAAGAGCACTAGATCTTAATTGGCATCTAAATTGATCGTAGTGAGAAAGAAATCCAAGAAAGGATAAAAGTGAAAAACATTTTTTGCCTTCCCTAATTGGATTTCATTATTGGAATGCATTACACGAATCTTGCATGTCTTCATCAATCGAAGAAATCTTAACACCTGAATGTAAAAAGAATTAAAAAAAATGACTTCCAGTAACTGGGTTCCGTTTTCAACCTGTTACCATGTTCTTATAGATACAGTCTTGAATAGAGTCTCGACATGCGAAATCAGCAAACAATATGTTCATACCACGAATCAGAGTAAAAAAAATAAGGCAAAGATTAACAATATCAGATACACAATTATATATACAATTATAGCCTGCTTCCAGTCCGTGAAGGGGCGGTGGGGTAGCCTAGTGGTTAAAGCGTTGGCTCATCACGGCAAAACCCCGGGTTCGATTCTCCACATGGGTACAATGTGTTAAGCCCATTTCTGGTGTCCCCCGCCGTGATATTGCTGGAATATTGCTAAAGGGGGTGTAAAACTAAACTCACTCACTCCAGTCGCTAAAAGTCTGTTGTGGAAAGGTATTCAAATCTGGAGAATTGTCTTTCAAGTCTGAGAGTTGAATATTTCTGAGGTTGTCTGAAAGGGACTTCTGGACCAGCTTTCGAGGTTGCTCTGCCATCACAGGAACTGGTGCATGATGTCGGTACAGACAACAAATGGTAATAGCAAGAGGAAACATGTTCTTTAATTAGATCACAGATGTATGATGGTGCCATCTGCTTTCCATAAACATTTTAATCACCATATGAGTTCATTGTACGGTTCTGACTATACATGTATCATAGGAATGTGAATTACTGTCAAAACAGTGATGATAGAAGGTGATCAGAAAAAAGTAAGTCAGTGAGTTTAGTTTTAAACCGCACTCAGCAATATTCAGCTATATGGCGGCGGTCTGTAAATAATCGAGTCTGGACCAGATAGTCCAGTGATTAACATCATGAGGATCGATCTGCGCAATTGGGAACCGATGACATGTGGTCAACCAAATCAGCGAGCCTGACCACCCGATCCCGTTCGTCGCCTCTTACAATAAGCATGGGTTACTGAAGACCAATTCTAACCCGGATCTTCACGGGTCTCATCAGAAAAAGAATGAACTGTGCCCCATCTGTCGCACCCATCAGAAACACATAAAAAGGGAAGTGAACTGTTCATGATTTTATAAGCTCAATGGAAATGCCTTTCTTTCTTTATATTCACAAGAAAGGGAACACAGGACTTTCCTTTCCAAATGTAATAATAATAATAATAATAATAAGTACATTTAAAATGAGTGAAGAGAAATGTTTTGAGACTTTCTTTGAACATTTGCAGAGTAGGGATTCCTTTAAGATAATCTGGGAGTTTATTCCAGAGAGTGGTGGCATTGTAAGTAAATGATCTCTGACCAAATCGTCTCAGACGTGGGGTTGGAACAGAGAAGAGATGTTGTTGGGCAGATCGGAGGACTCTAGATGGGTGGTAGACTTGTGTGAGTTCAGACAGGTAGGAAGGTGCTGATTGG